CGGGCGACGAAATTAATTATGAATAACAACGAATTAATTATTGGAAATATCATAATACAAGTCACTCCTGTTATAACAACACTCTCCGTACAAACAAAAAATGTTAGTATGACGAGAATGTCATTATAACGGGAGTTCAAATAGAAGTCATATGAGAATCATTATCATGTGACATTGTAATTTTATTTTTATTATATATTTTTTTTTTTATTTCATTCATGTTTTATCAGGAAATTTAAAACTTACGCCGGGTCAAAATTGACCAGCATTATACAGAAGTGTTATCAGAATTTTCCATGGTGCCGGTCAATCTTGATCCCAGCGTTTGATTTTCTTATGTTTTTTCAGAAATGAGAATGATTTTCCCATTATACTGACATGTCGTTATAACAGAATAAATTCTAAAAAGTTGACAAATTATGTCATTATACTAGCATAACGAGATGTCCTTTAATTTCGTCACGCGTAATTGATTTCGTCACCCGTAATTAATTTCGTAATTGCATATTACGTATTACGTATTACGTTTTTGGCAAAATAATTACCATCCCATGTATAGCCCTCAGTGAGCATGTATGGAAGCCTTGTTGTAATCAAACCAAAATTAGTCATGCTCATATATAACCAGCCCACTGTGAAAAAACTTATGTGGCTTCTTCACAATTTGCTTCTGAGTGAATATTTCCTTCCTTCCACCTAAGGTTGTGGGCAAAACCTCCTTAGTAATTGCTGAAACCACAGCAAAACTATATTAAATCTTATCAAAAATCCTGTTGAAACTATGTCAAAATGGCAAAGCCTCAAAATGTGAAACTCTAATAAACAATTAATGTGTAACCTGCAAAAACCCTGCTGATTGATTTCTGGAGGAGTTTTGGCAAGTAACCTTACTTCCACCATAGGCTTCGAAAAAGGTATAATCTGGCATTGTTTGTTTTGAAACAGTGGGTGCCTTCAAAAATTATTATATTGAGATTGAGATTGAATGTTTGATTGGATTGAGATTGGATTGAAATTGAAATTTTCAATCCATGATCAAAAATTATTTTATCAAGATGATCGACAATTATTAATTAAAAATGGAATTTTTACGTCTCTTTTATTAATCATTGTTGTATGTGAAATTGAAATATTATGGAGTGGGGTGAAATTCTGATTGGCTAATTTGAATTTCACATATGTAAATTTGAATTTCACATATGTGAATTGCAAATTCACATAATTTCATTTTCACATACAACATCATCAAAGAAATGAATTGGACCTTGAACCTACAAATACCAATGCTAATGTTTTAGTATTGATGTCTTTGTTTTTTGGGTACTTCAATATTTTCCATTTTTTTTAAAAAAAATTTTTTTTATTATTTTGTTTGTTTATTTTTTCAATCTTACTACCTGACCTAGATTGAAATTTCATATTAAAATTCGATCTCAATCTCAATCTCAGATTGAAATCAATCTCAATATGGAAATTTTTGAACGCAGATCGAAATCAATATCAATATAAATCTCAATCTAATAATTTTTGAAGGCGCCAGTGTCATCGAGCATAATGGACATTTGATTTCATTGGCTAAATTTTGTGACAATCTCCCTTCCAGATATCACACAAAAATTAAGTTTTATTGGCTTGATGATCATTATGCAATTTGAAAACAAAATAATTTATATCGGAGGGGAATTTAGTTTCGAATGGAATAAGTGAATTTCAAGTTGATGCAAGAATATATTTACATACTTGGATATAAAGCAATTATCATAAAATAATCATATATATATTGTATATTTAAAACAATAGATTTACAAAATGTTAATAACAATGATCTATTATTTATTATTATTATTATGTTAATAACATTAATTGATCATTTTTTCAAAAGGAATATCCTATATATATACAGAAAGGTTCTTTTTTTGAAAATATACAGTACCCTACCAAAAATGGAAATTTATTATATAAAAAAGGAAATAGCTCAAATTTTTGTAACATCTTTCTGGTAGTTATCTATATGTGACGATTAAACTTGTGAGACTTGGGGTGGTAGGAATTATGGAATGCTTACCAACTTCAAAAATAAATTTTTATTTGTCACGTAGGTTCTCTATATTTCATAAAAAGAACCTTTCTGTATATAAGATGACCCTTAATCAAAATGTATAAACGACCTACCTTCAAAACAATTCTTTTGAATAAAAGAAAATAACATTTAACACTTAAATAATTAAATAAATACCCAAAACTATTTGTCAGTAAGATTGCTCATTCGAATCTAATTCACATAATACATAAACAATTTTGTTTGTTATCAACCACCATTTAAAAAAAATTTTTTTTAGAAAATTACATACATGTACACTCCCCTACCATCATTTTAATAATCGGAAATGTTACGCCTTATGCAGTTCAAAATTTTATTAATCAAACCGGGACTGGTGCATTAAGTAAACATGAGTTTAAAAGTTAATTTGTATATAAACTTAAAGTCTCGTCGAGTTTGCATTTTAGGATGAAATTTTAGAAAAAAATCCCGTGATTTTTATGAAAACTTTAAGCTTAGTAAAAACCTTCAAAATTCCGTTGAATTGTGGATTACGTCATTAAGTAAGACCACTTAAAATACTTTGAATTATATATGGTTAAAATTTGAGAAAATTTGATCAAGTATAGACAACAAAACGTAAAGCCTTAAAATTTGCATTTTGTCAACTTTATTAAGTGCTTTATATGATAAAATTACGGGGTGGTCGGATACTTTTTTAAACCCTTTTCACGAACTAATTTATGCCAACACCATATTGTGGATATATGTATCTGTTACGTTGAGCACATTTTATTAATGAAATAATATGCATTACAATGAAGAAATTTGACCTTTATTATATGTAAAGATTCCAATTGAAAATTTGCTTTTTTGGACTATTTGCTAAATGCTTCCATTAATACCATATTGAACCTTTCGAAGCTTTTGTAATTTAAAGATTTTGATATCAAGTACAAATCTACTTAGTAAAGTAAAAACGGGTTTATTTAAGAAAACGTTACTTTTTTAGTAAGGACTCTTTTCATTTGATGTTACATGACTTGGGTGGCTGGATACTTATGGTAGGTGAGTGTATGTTGATTTAATAACTTTCAATCTGTAAAAAATAATGATTTTATTAATAATAATATTATTAATGAAACCTTCTTCCTCATTATTAATCAGAAATTTATGCACCATCCATTCCAAATGAGCTACTTTGATAAAGGATGAGATTGAAGTGGTTCGTGAGATCTCGGATAAAGGCTAAATGTGAACCTTAATTTTATTATATTAAGTGCTCACTTCATATAATTTTATTAATATTTAAGGTTAAATGATAATATTTTTAATTATATACTAACTATGCTATCTGCTCAAAATTAATTTTAAAATTATTAAGTAACAATTTGATTGGTTTAAATAATTTTGAAAATCAATTCCAAATTATTTTAGTGATGGTGTCTTTCCACTTTTTAAAAAAAGTCTTGGTTGATTTCTTCAATAGAGAAATATAATTGTTTTTTTTTTCTAGTTTTTAATAATGAAGTCATTCAAAACTACGATTTTGCACTTCCATTCATTGTCTAATTAACTAATTAGAATTAGCCATTAATCAACGATCAATTTTTTCAAAAATGATCATAATGATTTTGATTGGTTCTCCTGTTATATTAACATGCCCATATATTGATTTATTTATATTGCTTATTTCCTTTTTTTACAATAAAAAAGTTCAAACAAACATATTACATCAAAAGAAAATCATTACCAACTTTGGTTATATAATTCAAAAATATTGTAACACAAAAATTATTTATTGCAGTGAGTGGTTTTTCCAACATGTGGATCACATTATATTAACTTTTGAGTATAGATGATCCGCACTGTACTCATTTTTATCACAACAGTGCGTAAATCTAATTTTTTTATACCTTTTTTTCACCCCCGTTAAAAATTTAAAAATTTTTTTTTGCATTCATACAACATAAAAATTAAGGTTTCTGGTCGAAACTGCTTCTATTAGTAGCCGAAATTGCCCAAATACTTGGGCAAAAATTATTTTTTTATAAGCCCAACTACTTTTTGTTATTAGCTGAAATTGGGCGAAATTATTTTAAAGTTGTTCAAGTTAAAACAAGTTGATTCATATAGTCTTTTAATGCTCATGCTTATAGAAAATATTGAGAAGTCCAAATTGCCCAAACTAGTTTGGGCTTTGAGAAAACAGTTTGGACCAGAAACCTTAATAAAAATACAAGAAAGAATCTCTGATTTATTTAAAATATAAAAAAATTATAATGCAAAGTAATCTGATTTCCCACATAATATAATATTTTTTTTGAAATTATTTATTGGTGATTGAATAAAAATATATTATTTAATTAAACTGTGACACCCTCCAATAATTTATGCATTTAATATTAAAGATTAATAAATCTGGTGTCTACCTCTTCAACGCAAATATCACGTGATACCGACTTATTGAGAGTAATTTACAATATATCCTAGAAGAAGGGTCGGCCGACTTTATAACTTATCGCGATTTTATATACTAAACATTGAAAAAATAGGCTGAAAAATTTTGGCCGAGTTAGGCTAAATCCGACTTATCAAGAGGCCAACTTATCGAGTTTATATTTTATTGGCTGAAAGTCAATTACCGGGCAGCTAATCCGTTTAAAATTCTCTCGGCTGGCCCATTTTGATAATTTATGACGAGAAAGGTCCCCATAGAATATAAGGTTTGAGATTAACGAAATATTTTCCAAATTTGGTAACTTCACCAATAGGTCTTTTATAATAATAAGCTATGAGCACTTCATTAAAAAAAAAACCGAGTTTATAACATTATTCTAATAATCTTGACAAATTTGGTAAAAAAGATTCAGCACAATCTATTGAGTTTTTTTATAACTTTTAAAAATCAATCAAGAATAGCCTAACTTTAAAGAAGTTTATTGTTTTTGCATAATCAATGTCTCTATTAAGGAAGAAGGGTACGTATGATATAATAGTCCATTTTAATTACTATTAATCATATTTCTCCTAACTCCTTTCGCTTAATTATGTTTTATTAAAAGAAGGGCCGGAGATTATTTTATATCCTGAAGAAAAATATGTATATCACCAATTATTTCAAGTAGCTGATGAAGGGAAAAAAGGTGTTATTGAAGGAAAATATGCTGCAGATTTTTTGAAGAAGTCAAATTTATCTTCAACTGCTTTGAGCGAAGTAAGCAAAAAAAAAAAAAAAGGTTTTAACAACTACATGTTCTTACCATATTTGATTAATAATAGATATGGAATTTAGCTGATTATGAGAATCAAGGCGTTTTAACAACACAAACTTTTATTATTGCTGTTAAATTAATTGCTTTGGTTCAAAATGGTCAAAAGCCTGACATGAATTTATTAAAAACTAGTATGTTTTGTCTATATTTCTAAAAATTTTAGTTTCATGGAAATTTTTTAAAGTTTTTCTTTGTTATAATTTAGAGGTACCATTACCACGTTTTGAGGGTATTAACGTGGAAACGGGTTATATTATTACTGATGATATTCGTGAAAATTATAGAAAAAGTTTCTTAAGATTGGAGCCTGAAAATGGTCTTGTAGATGGTAATTATGAAAAAGATTAAACTAATAAATATGCGATGAAATTTAAACAATTATTATTTTTAATAAAAGAAATTGTTTTTAAGGCAACAAAGCAAGAGAAATTTTTTTGCGATCTAAATTATCATTAGAAACACTCCGTCAAATTTGGTAATAGATAGTAGATAATCTATTTATTTTTTGAATTTTTTAATTGATACAATATTTATAATTTAAATTATTTAGGAAATTAGCCGACACAAATAATAGAGGAAAACTTGATGTAAACGAATTTATCATTGCAATGCATCTAATAAAACAATATATGAACAAAAATATTAAAGAAATCCCACAAACTCTTCCAAATGGATTTTATGAAATGGTTGCTGGTATTAATCTTAATATGCCTTCATCACCACCATCATCACCATCACCTTCACCTTTTTTAGGAAATTCATCAAGCCCTTTGATCTCACCTGCTGCCAGAAGTTTTACAGATGGGTTTAATACAAAATCTCCATTTATAGAGGATTCATGGGATGTGACACCTGAAGATAAAGCAAATTATGATAATTTTTTTGAGCGTATTGATGAGAAGAAACGTGGATTTTTAACAGGTTAAACGCGATTTTTTAATTTATATATAAAATTTCTTTAAATTTAGAACAAAATAATTCGATTTTACTAATTGGGTTTAAACTGGTATAGGAGATGAGGCTGCAAATTTTTTTATGAAATCAAAATTGAACCAAGCTACATTGGCAATGATATGGTTCATAGTTCTTTTTTTTTCATTTAATATTTTTTAAAAAGAAAGAGACTGTAAATAATATATATTTATACATATTTTTTAGGGACCTTTCTGATATAGATAAAACTGGACATCTAAATCATGAAAAATTTGCTGTTGCTATGTATTTGATCCAAAAAAAGTTAAAAGGATTTCCATTGCCAACCATTTTACCAACAAGTCTTATTCCACCATCAATGCGTCACACTACCGGTAAAATCATTATAAATAAAGACCATCTAAAATAAAAATCATTTTTATAAATCTAAATTTTAAAATAATTAATTAATACAAAGCAGCTAGTCATTTTTTAAAAAGAGGCTCAACCATTGGTCATATTCCAAAAAAAATATTGGATCAACTTCATCATTGGTATCACATCGTTCAATAGAAAATCTCTTTGATTTAAATGACCCTACAGACTTACAAAACATTTTTCTTTCAGACAAAGCTGTTCCTAAAGGTAAATTGTAAATATTTGAACTTTTTACAATTATTATTATAAATTTATTAAAAAATTTTTTTAATTTTTGGGGGGATAACTTGCAGAACTACCAATAATTGATTTGCTTGGGGACCCTGATATAAATACTAAAATTGCAATTGAAAGTGGTGAAATAAAGAATTATGAAACTCAAATTGATATTCTTAGCAGTTCAAATGATGAATTAAAAATACAAAAAAACAATCTAGAATCAACTCTTGCTAATTTAATAATACAAAAACAAGAATTTAAAGATCTTTTCTTACAAACACGTTCTTTGTATGAAGCTGAATTTAAGATAGTAAAAGAGATTCAAATTCAATATCAATTGGAAAATGAGAATCTTGAAAGAGCTAAAGGAGAACTTGCACAAGCTGAAAGAGCGTTAGCTGCTATAAAATTGGAGAAGGAACAATTAAAAGAAAACACCCAAAAAGATAAAGATGAAATAAATGAATTGAAAAAGAAAATGAGATTAGTTGAAGAAGAAACAGTATCGATTAAAGCCGAAATTGAAAAAATTCAGAAAGAAAATAGACAACAAAAAGGTTTACTTGAAATTAATAAAAAGCAATTAGCGACTGTCGAGGCTGAAAGAGAAAAATCATTAGAGACCTTAAAAAATTTTGAAAAAAGTAGTAATAATTCACCTGATATCGATAATGTTTTTGTTTCTACACCATCAACAATAACGCCAACTCCATCAAATAATAATTCCTCCGATATTTTTCAATCAATATTTAATGAACCGGAAAAAGAATCTGCAGATTTTTCTAATGAACAAAATGAAAATATATTTCAACAACCTCCCATTGAAAATGGCGCAACTTCAACTGTTGATCCATTTAATTCTAATAATTTTAAAAAGCCAACATCAGACAAATCTGCTTTTGATTCTGCATTTGCGACACTTGAAGCTACAAATAAGACTGACGATGATCCATTCTTAACTGACACTTTTAATTCCGAGAAATTTCCATCGTTAGAGGAACTTGAAGGCTTAACATTTGCATTCGAAAATGATTTTAAATTCGAAAATGATTTTAATTCAGATAAAAAAGAAAATAATTTGTTTACTGATCCAAAAGACGAAACGGTTGTTAAACAAACTGAAAAGTCAAACGCAACTGAAACTAAACCAAATTCATCAGATGAAAAGGTTGCTTCGCCATTTATGAATGAAGATAAAGTTGAAAATGCATTTAAAAATGAATCAACTGATTTATTAAAAGAATTAATGAAACCTTCAACTAATACCAAAGATGCTCATTCGTCAGAAGATCTTGACTTTATTTTTACTGGTCTAACTGAAGCAAAAGTCATGGAAACTACTCCTGTTAACTTTGATAATAATTTCGACTTTGATCAAAATTTTGATCCCAAATCAATATCTTTCAAAAATAATATTATTAATAGCAACAACAACAATAATATTAATAGTAATTATAATAATAATAACGATGATAATAATAAAATTAGTAGCAATGCTAATACATCATCATCATCAACATTTGATTTATTTGCTTCAGATAATGGATTTTCATTTTTTGATCCTTTAGCTTCAAACAATAGTAATAAATCAATAAAGCCAAACACTACAGTTTTAGATGCTGCGTTCGGAGGCACTTTTGAGGAAGCAAAAGCTGAAAATAATCATGAATTTGAAGATGCTTTTGGAGATTTTTTGAAAGGAAATGAAATACAAAAAACACAAACAAATTTGTCTTTTGATTCTGAAAATGCCAAATCTAATACACCTTCATTATCATCATCCAATTCAAATTTCAAACCTCCTACAGCTACTGCCACCACCATTGATAATGATGATGATGATATAGAAGATGTAAAAACTTTAAAAGAAATGGGGTTTCCAAGAGAGAAGGTTATAAAGGCACTTGAGGATAGTGATTATGACCTTAACAAAGCAATACAGATTTTATCACCTAATAATTAAATAGAAGGCTGCTAAATTAAAAAAAAATAATTGAAATTATAATTTAATTTGTATTTATTGTAATGTATATTAACTAAACTGTTTTAGTAATAATATATTAAATAATATTTTTATTTAATTAAGATTAAGGTATAATTTTAACTTAAATAAAGATTTTTATGTATTAATTTTTTTTAAATTTTTTTGATTTT